TTAAATCAAACAGTAAACTATGAAGTAATTGCGGAAAGAGAAGACGAACACGATGACAAAACTTATAGCATACGGTAACCGGGACAAAGCTACCAGTGGGGGGTTTTTTTTAATGTAAAGAAAAGACAATTCCAAAATTAAAAAAAGAAGTGAAAAGAAAAGACAATTCCAATTTCTTTCCTTATGCGTTCATTAAAATGCAAATTTCCCAAACTGTTTGATCCGGCAAAACTAAAATTGCAACAGTCATCCCATAGCAAAAACATTCAGATATGTCACTGTAACCCCCAGCGCACCATTCAAAAATGTCACCACACTTTCTATCCAATCAGAACTTCTAAACAAACACAAATGATTCATAATTAGGTTTTTTCCTTCTAGTTGAAAGGAAACCTGCGGGTGATGACTTTATAGGAAAAAGTGTTCCCTATAGACGATATTCGTTTACAGTTGTTTCAACAATTGCATAATGCAAGCATACATTCGCTACATTTTGACCAAAATGACACGCGCAATTTTATTTGGGCTCAGTGCAATTTGCGCCAAATGTATTTTTTTCTCTGTGATATCATTTAATTTATTTACGTCAGAATGATATGAATCGAATGGTTTTGGCATATGCTTGAAGGAAAATAAACAATCAGTCCAAATATAATATAACACACTTAGTGAGTGAAATGTCTATGACAAAGTGTTGCACACAGATATGATCCAAGAAATCATTTATAGCGACTGTAAATGTACAAAAATGAGATCATGATAAGTGTTAGGTTAAAGGTTAACACCAGGGTTTATCATGGATTGCTTTAAAAAATTTAAGGAACGGTATTAAACATTACGAGTGCTGAGATGTCAAGCGGTGTTGATGGTCCTGTTACCTGATATCGACGTAGAAATATTTTTTTTGTATAATTTCTTGAATGTTTAATATATCTTAATATATATTTTAATGCACTGCAATATGCAAGCATTCTTAGATATTCCAGAAGACTTATAGTTGCTCAATATATCTTGCTCAAATTCTATTGTTGAAGTCACAACATTTTCTACGTGTTCAAATATTATGAATAGTTATCAACTAGCGAGGAGTTATATTTATTATGAATTGTCAGTCGCGAGTGAAAAATTATATTGGTGACATAACCATCCTACACTAATTTTGAACAATATATTTTGAAAAAAACGTGATCGATACTGACGAACCTTTCCATTGAATTTTGCAGTGGAATTCAAATTTCTCTGTATCTGTCGTGATAAGTAAACAAATGGACAATAAACGTGAATGAGTTAAATAAACAAACTTAACTGATAAATTACCGAACAGACCGAACAGATTCAAAGTTAGAAACTTTACATGACTAGAAAGTGGAAACTCTACTCTTTCATTCCAAATATTGTTTGTTGTTAACAGCAATTCTACAAATTAAATGGACAATCAAAGTCGGTCGTAATAAATAATAAAAGTGATGCCTGATCACGGGAGATCGAAAGACTCACTGAAGGTACTTTGAAAACAGAAAATGATGAGGCGCCAACAGTTTCAACATTGCTAGTTGCCAAGCTCACTAAGTCACGTAAAGCTCCATCCAGGAATGCATCGAGTTCAGCAATATCTTCCATTGTCCTCGTCACTTCACGAATTAAAACTCCAGTATACCTTTAAAAAAGAGGATGAATTGTAATTTAGGATTTTATTAATTTTGATAGTCGGTAAAGAGATAAAAACTGAAATCTGAATGCTTACCTTTGTGGAATGTTGGAAGATTTAGAAGATTTTGCAATGATGTTAAATTTCGAACTGTTGCTTATTCTGATACCAGAATATGTGCTGGGCGACCAGGTAGCCGATTTTATATCATCAAATGCACCAAGTTGTAAACTGATTTCGCGTTCCGAAATCATCTTTGCTAGACGCTCACGGTCAATAACCTTCTTCCGAAAACATTTAACTATTTTTTTGTAATTTGATTGCGGTGGCCCATTTATGAAGTTATCTGTATGTTCCCTGAAAGTCCACCTGTACATTGATTCACTTTTACTTTCAGGGATTTCATTTTTTTTAGAGAAAATGTAACTTCTCACTTCCGAAGTGTACTATTCCACTCACTTCTACAAGTACAAAGAAGCTTTCTCATGCCTTGAAATGTATACTGGCATGGAAAAATTGCTAGCTTAGCACCTAAAAGTATTCCACTTATCGTTAAACGGTAACTGGCGTTGTTGCGGGATAACATAATGGCTTTTGACCAGTAAAAAAATTATTAAGTATCTGAAGACCAACCGAATATGCAATGGGTGCAAGCGTAATCCAGCTTTATCGGAAGATCTGGGAGTACGTAAAATGCGAGCTGCGTCTAATAATCCCACTCGTGGTGTTGGGCGAACATCATCACTCTGAGGAACAGAATCGGAACAACTTAGTATGTGGGGATCATCGGTTTTCTGAATGAAAAATCAGTTGAAATATCCAGCATTCCTTTTTCTTTTTTTTTTTTAAATAATGGATCCACAGAAAGGAACCAAAAGACTAATTCGAAAACAGATAATATGGAGGTGGAACAACCGATAAACCAGCGGAACTATGCAAACTGGTTTAAAGGTTTGCAAACATGAACCTTTTCTAGAAATCACAGATTGTAACAGCACCAATAAATGGGCTACACTAATAGTTCAAATGGTTGGTCGCTAAAATTTACAGCATAATAATGGTACTGAAACCTACCAGTAGTGCCTTTAGGGTACATAACGTACCCGTAATAACAGCAAATAAAGCGCCTTCTTGGATAACAATGACAGGTTTTAAATCGAAAACTGCATTGTATTTCGTATTTCCGCTCCGCATTTCTTCCATCAGCTTACTATAAAGTTCGTGTTCCAAAAACGGCAGCGACTGAAGATAAAAACTGTAAAAGAACATTCCATTTTTAAAATTTCAAAACTAAGAACCAAAATCACAAAATTTACTGAAAAAAATTACGTGGCTAATAGTAGAAGCCAACTGATCGTCGCTTTCTGAGAAATTCACTTCACGTTTAAGATGAACTTGCAATGGCCGGACGGTGCCATGTAGATAGTCTGATGCAGGTAATGAACAACTGTTCAAGATGATATCGGGGCAAACTGCATCACTAATAAAGAGAGATCACTGAAGAAGTTTTCTGAATAACTGTAGCAGTATGAAAGTCAATCAAAACCAGTAGGGGAAAATATTCAGGATTTCTTCCAAACCAATAAATTGTTAATAACTGATGACAGCATAACTGAAGGTCAAATTAGGAAAAATTTAAATGATATAAAGAATCCGCAGTATCTTGTCTGGACATCTCTGGGATCCAGCAAATTTGGATGAATATAATGATGTAGGAATAGGAAATTTTTTCGAAAGTAAACATACGGTAATTTGCAACAGGAACACACATTTACGTTTTGATTGGTTGATGCATCGCCATCGAAGCATGCAGTATGGAACCTAATACAATCCGGAACATGCTTAGTCCCTGCTAAAATGACGGATATAGCAGTCCCTGTACAGCTTAACAACGCCATTTTCTTACGAATACTGATTTGTTCTGTGTAGCCAATAATTAAATTGCAGCGTAAACTTAATGTTTGACGAATAAGTTCGATCTTCAAGTCGTCCCACCATCTGAAATGAAAGATGGAAAGTAGTAATAAAATAAAGCTTTCATTCGATATTTAATATACACTATCATAACGCATGGGAATAATGATCACATGTTTGATAAAATAACTGATAGCGCTTTTGGAAAGAGATTAACAGCTCAAAGCGTTATCTGTTTTTTTTTAAGATCCATCCATTTATTAGATTACCAGTGGTTGAAATCACCAAAGGTTGTAAAAGATAACCGTAAATCTGTTTTTAGCATTTCTACTTTTTTTATTACTTGACCCGCTACCAGTCCAGACCCGTTACCGTTACCATCTAGATTGCATTTCTTGGTTGAAGTACAATAAAACAAAACTTTTTTCTGATCATAGCAGCATCACTATCATCTGTCAGCACATGAGCGGAACGAGCGCAAACAACAACACCACATTTATATCTGTATATATCCGGTAAAACCTTCAATGACAACACATGATGCAGTATACTTTCGGCTGCAACTTTCTCATCTGTCTGCGACAGTCTGACTGCTGTTCCAAATGCTCGAAATGTAATCAGCTCGGTAGCATCGCCTTCGATATCAACAAATTCATGATACCTTGAATAAGTAACAGACAATGAACATCTCTGACAAATTTTTGGATTGTTATTAACAAATGGCCATTCCATAATTAGAATTAACATCAATTTTTTACCCAAGGATTGCATTCGACCCGAGAGAATGCGCTTTCTGTGCAATATTTCTAGCTAATTCGCGTAACGACTTCCGAATTATGCTTTGTCGAGCCTCATTAGAAGCACGTGGAGAACGAATCCTGTCAATCCATTCGTATTCAGGATCAGTCACTGTAGCTACATCAGAAACCAATCCAATAATATCGTTCATTGATAATGTTGAGATAATGCTAGCTTAAATTCTGCCAATATGTTTCAATATAACAAGAGAATGAATGTATTAAAGCAGAATGAAAAATAAATGTCAGTTCATTCATAAGACTTTTGACGGCATTTGTACGACCATTTATCTTAAACTGCAGTCAAGGAGACCCTAAATCTTTCAGCATTATTTAGTGGAACGTTAAAAGATTATTACTGTTTAGCTGGAAATATCTTCAAATGAAACTAGGGACGCAGTTCCATAATAAACGGAAAAACCATTCTTCCAAATCTAATTCGAATGAAATGAATAAGCAAGTAGACAAATATAGAACGGTGACGATTAATCCATAAAGCGGTTTTTATAAAATTTACGTTGTTTTTGAACTAATTTTGAACTAATTCTGAATATACTTCACATATAACCTACCTGAAAGTATACGCACATATCCGTGATCATTTGATAACAGTAATTTAAGCGAGATGGATATCTGAATTTCGCCTCTTATTCCTGTAAACATAAAACAGAAAAAAAAGGTATAAGTATGGCTCAAGAAAACTCAAAAAATTCCGCTAACGAAAAAATAAAAATGAAAACAAGAACAAACTCACCGTAAACCGAATCATAAATTGGCAGCCAATTTGTGAACTCCATACTATTACCATCGGCTTTGCTGCACCTTATTTTAGAAACTAACAAATTGGCATCGTAAAAGACACGTCCAATGGCATCATTTGCACTGTATGTGTCATGATCCATTACACTAAATTTAAAGATTACTAAAATGCAATGGTTCCTCGTGGCAACTCATATTTCGGTTATTCATTCTGTGAGTTCATTTTATGTTGAATATTTATTTTGCGATACCTTACCGGAACTGGATCGGATTATCAAATAACTGTTGTTCATCTGTCTCAAAAACAAACACATCGGAATTCCAGACCGGCGACAAACTTTTGCTGCAGACATCGGTTTTGTAAACCTGAAGTAGTAGTCCTGAAGGGAGTTATTGAATGTATCACGTCACTCTCCGTTGGCTCAGATGATTACTGGAGTGGAAATCTGTCGAAAGAAGCCCGCAACGACAAATGTTCAGGTAAATCCCATCTGAACTATTGGTGTTTTGCATCATCTCACCTTCACTGGGTAAATATTTTACCCAATCCAACCTCCAAAACTTCGTAAAGAATGTTTGAAGCTTAATAGAGAAAGGTACTAAATAAAGCCTTATTCTAGTAAGAAAATAATGGAAAAATCCTAAACCTCATTTTCGAAATGAACTTCAACGAAAGCATCCGTAGTGACATTAGACTTATCCATGACAGGTAATCCGCGAGCCGATATCACACGAACAGAAAGTTTCGCCGGAAGACTATTGGTACTACACGGGACCAACATCGCTTCTTTTAGAGCTTGTAACTGTCAACAATATGCTCCAAGCATTCTAATTTCGGAAATCATTTTTTTAACGGTCCAGTATATCAGTGATAATTGACAAGTGCGATCGATGACTGCCAAAATGCGGACATTTGAAGTCTTCTTCCTGAATTCCCATCATCATCACTTCCTGATGAACAACAGTTAAATGCTCAGTTGAAGAGTAGAAAGAGTTGAATCAACTTGTCTCTACTTTGATATAAAATCTTGCTGATTACAAACAGCCATTTGATTCAGATCTTCCTTGTAGAACGCAAAGGAAAGAAACCAAAGCTTGGATGCATCTTTGAAACCAAGTAAAATATAATATACAAATAGATTTCAAAAAAGGGGAAAGGAAAACAATACAATAAACAGCAAGAACAAACATTTTTCTCAAACTTCATACAAAGCATTTCTCTTCCTTTTTTGTCGACGATGTGTTAAAAACAGAGGCACTATATGACTGATACAACTGTAGGTCAAAAAATGGAAAAAAAAAGATATTAAGTTTCGAGGATTTTCACAGATAAGACTTCCATTTAAAATTATATCGATTAGCTTCTCATAAAATGTAAAAGGGAAAGCATAAAATTATGTCGATTAGCTTCTCATAAAATGTAAAAGGGAAAACATAAAATTATGTCGATTAGCTTCTCATAAAATGTAAAAGGGTAAGCATAAAATTACGTCGATTAGCTTCTCATAAAATGTGAAGGGAAAGCAGCAACTGTGAATTAAGGCGCAAAATACGCGACTATATTATAAAGTTGTGATGCTATTTGGTTAATTTGGCAGCAGGAGACAAGAAACAATGACAGAGAAAATTCCAGGAACAATTTAAATACTAATCTCATAATAATGAATGATAACGTAAATGACGAGTGCACATCCATAATAGATAAGCCAAATAATGGCTAAATCGAGAACAGACAGGACGCAAAAATACACATACACATACAAGCAAACACACTACCAATTTAGTTGTCCACACCAGTATACCTCCACAACCAATAATAATAAAATAACTGTACGATACGGAAAAACCAACAACTATTCCGCTGAGGGTAAATATTGCATACTTCCTTTTCTAAATCAAAATCTTAAGTCTCAATTAACCAACTTGAAACATTAGAAAGATTATTGGTGAAAACTCTTCATCCCCCTTCCACAATATTGGAAAGATTGGAAGAATCAGCAAGCAAAAAATATTCATTATTTCACTCTTACTTCTAAAAAAAGATTCAAGAGGCGGAGAAACAATAAGTGAAAACCCTAACATAGTTTCAAAAATAAAAGTTGAAACCACAACTGTCAAAAAGAGATATTAGCAATAAAACATACTTTTTGCTACCTGTTACAATAAATTAAACCAATGTAGCACGATAAAAAGAACAATTCATGTTTCTATGATAACAATTTGTTAAATCAAAAAGGAAAAGTAAACCGTTTCCTGGTGGTGGCACAACTGTACACCGGGCGGCCTAATCCTTACTGATTTCTGCACAACAATTAATCTAAATTTTGGAAATTGGATGATTGCGTATGATGGACTAAGTTTTGAAAAACAAGCTAAGTTTCAGAAAACATTCATTGGCCAACTGCTTCATACGAAAAAGACGTAACATTTTACAACACTCAAGAATCTTGAGCAAAAACAAACAACCAAGAAGGAAATGGATAAAGAAGACAACTTTTTAGGTGGAAAAAAGGAAATACATATTTGAAATATTCAATAAATGCTGATGTTTTGCAATATAGTCTCACTTTTATCAATTTCAAGAGAATGGTTCCTGTACACATAATGTAAATGTCAGTAGTTGATAAAGCATCATAATAATCTTTTACATGATATTATTCGAATATATGTGCAAATCAGTTCGCTCTTCATGTATGGTAAGTAATTGGCCACCAATGAACATACACAAAAATCGTTTTGCAAGCTCGTCATTTTTCCAAATTCAAAATATAGTACATTTCCTTGACCGTTTAGGCTTCGGTGGAGGAATCAGAACAGCTCGGATGGCTTCATCGAATACTTGCTTCAAACCCTTTTGCGATAATGCTGAACATTCCAAGTACTTCACAGCATCTGTCAAATATTATTTCATTGAATAATCCAATTGGAAATTTTGGTGTAAAACTATTTTTACAATAGAATAGGCTCATTACGATAGGAAGAGAGCATCTAACTTGTTGATACTGTGCAACACATCTGCTAAGCGTTTCTAGGCGCATTTGTAACCAGAACTCCGGAAGAAGGCTTACAACATTCCTATCACATCATTAGCTCACACATTTTTATCCTACAAAGAAACGCATACGAATTTTTTGAATCACAAAGGAAATTAGGACATACTAATCTCTTTCGACATTGACAGTCCTTGCAAATAACTAATCGGAGCTAAATGCCTATCACGAAGTCTTTCAACGGTTTCGTTATCTTCCCTTAGGTCCAATTTTGTTCCCACCAATATTATTGGCGCATTTGGGCAATGATGAGAAACTTCGGGATACCACTTTGCACGCACATTTTCGAAAGAAGCTGGATTTACTAGTGAAAAGCATATTAAGAAAACATCCTGAAATAACTTATTAAAGTAAAAAACCAAGCAAAAGAAAGGGCAGGATGAAAATATTAATTGAAGAAACCTTTAAAAAGGGCTAGAACATACAGTCCTCAACAACCAAGTGGACCCAAGTCAAAAATAAAACCTACCTCACTTTTTTAATAAACTTGAATTTAGCAGCAAACAGGTAATTGCTAAGAAAAAAATGAGAGCCAGATCGTAAAATTAACAGTTAGCTCACAGTTTGTGGATAACTGAGTGGTCGCAATCTATCGTAATCTTCCTGACCGGCAGTATCCCACAAACCCAAATTGATTGGTTTCCCATCGACCATAACATTGGCCGAATAATTATCGAAAACTGTTGGAATATATTCGCCCGGGAAAGCATTTGTGGTGTAACTGATTAGAAGGCACGTTTTACCCACGGCACTGAAAAATCAGTATACATAGAGAGGATAACTTGACAATTAACTCTTATACGGATAAAGCGCATTTCCAACAATCATAAATCGCTTGCAAATAGTTAAAAACAAACTGTCCCCAACAATACTCTTAGACCACTAGCACTCACTATCCACACAATGAATCACTGTCACTTGCTGTCTACAACTTAAATTACAATTTAAAATATGGCCTTGCATCAAAGTGTTAATTCCTTGAAATTATTAAGCAACTAAGACTTCAACCGGATGCTTGAATTCTATGTTCGCTACAGATATATCGCATTTCGTCCCACTCTCACAAACCTTGCTCAATAACAGCTGATCTAGTTATTCGCTATAAACATCCCTACCGATTTACAGAGTAAAAATTCTTGAAAGTCTCACCCGTCTCCGACGACGACACATTTAATTGCTTGCATGTCGTCGTAGAGTCTGCTTTTAATACAACCTGAAAAAAGTCCAATGTGCTTTAAAAGAGCAATGAATTGAACGCCTTAATATCGCCGCATTGTTTCCTTTCATTTCCGAATAACACTTTTTACTGGCAATAGTAACTTTGATTTTAGTGCGAACTAATGCATCATGCCGTTTACCATCAATCATATCTAACAAGAATGTTGGTGACAAGACAAACCAATCAAAATAGCCAGAAAAAACAGGGAAGAACACATGGCGGTATACAATTTTGACGAAAAGAATCTAAGAAGCATCTTAAATTATCTCCATTTACTTGGATTATGCTGGAAAAGACTGCATTGCTGGTGATATTTCCCAACTTCACTGCTCATCAATTAAACCGTACTAAGGACTACACAGAGATATCTAATCAGTATTATTTTAATCACAGCATCAGTAAGTGTCCTAGTAACACAAAACAGTCTATTGCAGCTGTTAAAACACGCGTTTCGGCATGATCCTTCAACCTAATCAAATGTTCTTATCGCGTTTAAAGTAGAAAACAACGACTGGAAGCAACGATTTTCCATGGATGTAAGTAGCATCTAATCCAATTCCAGGACACAAAACAAACTGCGCTAGACAGTGAATACGTGTACCTATCCACAACAGAAATACCTGCCTACAACAGAAACAAGAAATAACGACATTAATCGTCAAACTAATTGAAAAATTAACGAGAGAAAGAAGGAAAAAAGCGAAAGTTTTGCTTCTACTCTCCGTTAATTTAGTATCAACAACAAATGGACGAGAATCTATGTATATTCTGAACCCACTAACGATCACATTTAAGCTTAATTTATATTTAAGCTTAAGAATATTCTTAGGATAGCTTCGTTCTTTCCAGAATCGTAAATCCTTTTCTCCTAATAATTTCGCAGGCATCATGCAGCAAATGCCCCTCATGACTTTTCTACTACAAAACACGACCTTTAAACAATCGGAATTTCATTTTGATTCAAATACCAGTAGGCGAATGACAACACTGAAATAATAATTCTACAAGAATATAAATTCATCATTTTGGAGTTAGTTGAATTACGTTGACGTCATCCTCCACTGATATTCTCCGAAATGGTCACAGTAACTAACTAGACATCCAGGAATCCCTTCCTCTATATTTGGGTAGACTACAGCTTTCAGGACAACATAATTACGACACAATTCCACTAAATTCGTGACAACATAACTACACTAAATAAATAAAACCAAGCCATCTTAGTCAACCCCCGCTTCATCCCGGACAACATTCTAAACCAATCACAAACAAACAAATGAATGAGAATGAACTTCCGCTCCGTGCTCGACCTTGATATAAGAATGAATGAGTGACACAACCATTGGTTTGAACCGTTGGTTGGTGATTCAGCGTTCCACACACACGATTGGTTTTGCATTAATGTTTTGCTGCTAATTGCTCTGGGCGGTGAGTGACGTTAAACTGTTTTGAATTTCCCGTGATATGGTCAAGTTGTATTGATTTTGATTTTCGAAATGGGTCGGACGGAAATCCCATTTATAGTCTAATTTTAAAGAAACTTAGTGGAAGCGTCAACAGCTAAATTAGGTCATCGCATGTCACATAGTTACTGTATGTCACTCACAATTACATCATACATGTCATTTATCACACTTGAACTGCAATAAATTGCGTCCTCGTGTATTGCTAGATCTTTAATAGTGTAATTTATTGTCGGATCGTTCATTAGGGAGCGGAAATGCCTGATTTTATTTTATAAAGTATTCATGCATCATATGATTAGATAGTCTGTGCATTTTCAACTTTAGATAACCGTAGTCATTGATAATTGCCTCAGTCCACAATTGTTTTCAATATTTGAACTTAAGGATATCAGGTGATTAGCATTGATTAGCGTTTAAATGCAATAAAAGAACGTAATATTGGTTTTTATTCCTGCTGATCAAAATGTCGCAGATAACGTTGTGCAAGAGATCAATTGATGAAGATATAGATGCAAACAGTTTTCTGTGATTTCAGTTGGTAGGACTGCAGTTTCTTCCTATCACTCCAATGAAAGAATCATGGAGTAGTTTGATGGCTGCGAACAATACGTTTAGTCACCAGGAAGTACAAGAAAATTTCACATTTTGTTGTAGGTAACAGGCGGGAAGACTGGAAGAAGAAGGGTATATTTCAATGATGGATTGGGAAATGATGGTCGAACAATATCGTGCAGAAGCGGAACGATACAAACAAGAGTAAACTATTCATTTTCAAAGATAGATGAAATAATAGTACGTTAATTTGAATATTACAGAATAAACTTGAATATTGATGCCATGGTGTAATGTACCTAAATCAGAATTTCAGAGCGAACGAAGCAAAAAACGAATTGAAAGACTTTGTAACATTTAGTCAGCAGATAGAAGCTGAGCTGGACAAGGAATTGAATGCAGCGAACTTATCGTTAAGTAAACGTGAAAAGGAAATCGCTGTTTTGGTGCAAGAGCGAGATCGATATAAGGTTGTTTTAATGGTCAAGATAGTTATAGACGGTAGATGCGACAACTTATTCTAACCGTATCCGTCTTGCCTAATTCTCTTTCATGGTGAAAATGGTGCTTTGGGTATTTCTTGACGATATTTATGAGGATGCATTTTGGTATCATGTAATGCACAAAATTTTGAATGCAACTGACGTTACTGTGCACATGTTACTGCTGGAGGATTTAATGATAGGAGTTCCTGTTCTGGTCCGTTTTTGAAGAGATAGCACCCACCCTTACTTTTTTTTCAGGAAGAAGCTCAACGGTTCCGTGCGGAGCAGTATAGTAAGGATATGAAACTTAACGACGAATTGCAAGAATTGAGAACTGAAAAGGAAAATTTGATGAATGCTGTCCATAAACTTGAGCAAAAAAACGATGATTTGGAGAGAGAATTGAGGTATGTAATTATTTTTTGATATCGCGAATTTATTTCGTTGTTAGTGAGTCACTTGGCAATGGCTATACTAATTGCTGTCCATGTAAGGAAATCTTCAAAACTGGAATTTTTCTGATCAGATACATTTCTGGCTTCTTAGTATCAGTTCTTCGAGTACTTTTAGGATAACATGCGAAACTCTCAAGGACACTGAAAAAAAGTTAAATGAAGAATTAGAGATGCGAGCGTTGCTTACTACAGAACTTGACAGTAAAGAAGATTTAAAGGTTAGCTTGTCTAGGTTATCTGATTTGCCAAAAGCTTAGACTTAGCATGGCAGTAGCAGCAGTTGAATATTAGGGAAATATAGCGGGAAATGTATTCTTATAGTTTCTTCTTCTATATGCTATGTTGTGGACATTTCCAAAATTCCTATTGAAAACCATGTTGGATTGACGGGCGCGTAGCATGAGGAAGTCTCCAGCAAATCGGTTATCATATGCTCTTAGTTGCAGGTCCGTTGCCAAAGACTAGAAGATGAAGTTCGAGATTTGAAATTAGATAGTATGGTAAAGGATACAAAGCTGTCGAATTCAGTTGCTAATCAGTCTAATGGGGTGACTGTTACTCAGGCGAAACACAGTTCTGGGAATTTAATGCAGATGAAAAATAGTAAAGATTTAATTTTATCGTAGTCGTAATATAGTTAGGACCAAGTTATAGTTTTATAATTAAACTTTTCTTTTCAAGATCCGATAAGATTTGATCTGGGAGTTTTATTATGGGAAAGGTAACAGTCGGTTGTTTTTAGAAAAAAAACAGTTGGCTGGTTTTAGGAAAAAAAGACAGTTGGATGGTTTTAGGAATATATTTACTTACAATCTCAAGTTGATACTTTAGTAGGTCATTCGTGTGTTAGTGATAGTTAAGCAGTTTGATTTAATGGTTGTTTTCGCTATTTTTTTTCTGAATACCCATGTATTTTTGGACTATTTCCCAGACAACCTACTGCACTTAATAAATGAACAGTTGCTGAGGTCCTGAAATTGTATTATACGGCTCGTAATTTGTTCAGTCGAACAATTGGTATAAACTGGGGGGCATTAGTGAATTAAATTGTAGGACGACAGAATAATGGAGCATTGCAACCGGCAAGGTCAGTAAAAAATGGTCTCACCTCCTATGATAGTACGTTTGTTTGCAATTTCTTTAATGCATTCTTGCATGACTTTTTCAGTCAGTTTTAATCAACGAAATCAGTTTGTTCTTTCAGTAAGTCAAAGAAGTTTTCCTTTCACAAAATTTTGTTCAGTCCAAGAAGAAGACAAATGCAGAAATCGCTCGAATTTCTTTGTTGTCGCTTCAGTAGTTTTATTCCATTACAGATTATGATGTTTGTGTACATGATGTTAGCAAGAAAAGACTAATCACCGATGCTAGTTCGAAGGGCATTGGGTCACGTGTGAACTCCTTACCGCCTTCATTAGCAAGTAGTGTTTCACCGGTCATTGTCAATCTCCTTGAAACGATTCAGGTGTTTCTTAATTCATATTCACTTAAATTCACTACTACTTTTGCTTAAAAGTCTTACTTTTGGTTAAAACTTTTTTGCAGAAACTTTTATGAAATAGCGAACGTTATAGGCTCTTGAGGAAAAGCTGCTTTTACTACATCCAGAACGAAGGACAAATGTGGAAAATGGATTTGGGACGGCAAGTCAACATTGAGAACAAGTGCAGTATCTGCATCGCTGTAAACATACCTGTAATTTATAGAACTAATGCGGCGTTATTTCCCCGATTAATTTTGGAAGCCGTTGTTTTCAAATTTGGAATCTCATAGAGCCAGGGATAATTGGAGCTTTTGTTTGTCTAGAATGGATGCTTGTTTTCTCGACTGTGTTTGCTCAATGTTTTGTAACGTTTTTCGGTGGGTCCATAGTTTGACATGGTGATTTTTACAGTTTCATTCGAATAAGAAAATTTGTCACGAACGCTAGCAGTATGCATTTATTGGTGGCATTTAATTGCTCTTTCTCAAGTTTTGTTTGATGTGCTAATGATATAGGCTTAGGGTGAAATTAGCACTGAAAGTTTACCTAAATTGCTACTGTTTTATTGCGTTCGATAGTAAGATATCGTTCCGTTACATTTTATGCTGTAAGAATATTGCAAATAATTTCATCGGATGAAATGTGAGCTTTCATGTGCATATCGATTGGTTCTTATTACTGGATAGTTAACGATATATACCTGTCACGATTTTCACGTAAATAAAAAAACATTCTTCGCTAGAATCCCCCTGTACTTATACGAGTGTATGATTGCTATGTATTCTGTATATAAAATCATTTCCGTAATATAATTTCCACCACACTTGATTCGAACAAGACGGAGAATGGAAAACAGTATTAAGTTCTGCAGCTGCATTGTACACGTCCTAGCTTATTACGGATTTTAGCTCTGCGGAGTACCTTATTTTTGGCATAAACAACATATATACCGCAACGCACTTAAAAGCAAGCTGTGACATAACAGCTCCTAACCCACACATTGTTTCTCGAAACAGTAAGTGACACTGACAACGAAGTAGAGCGTGTGAAGGTCGAATGTAAGTGTGGCATTGTTTCTACTTATGGATCCAGGATAACTAAAGGAGTTTTGATTTGTAGGTCGTGTTTTGAGGAGTGTTGCTTAATATCGAGAAGCAGGATCAAAGTTGGCGGCTTTGTCTTGAGCATTTGCAGTTTTTTGTCCGGTTTTATCATTGGCAATAGTTGATGAGGGGGAAAATCCGTTGTTGTTTCTTTATCATTAGTTATCAATTGTCATGTCCTTTCTATGTTTCATCATAGAAAATGATATCCATGTTAAGACCAGTGGTATTGGCAAGTTATGGTAAAATATCTACATGCGTACTGTAGCACTCCTTCATCCAATACACAGGAAACTCTTATGTAAAACATCAAGCGACAAACATAATACTGTCTTTTCTTCCCGCTCTTCTCTCTCAGATGAGCTTATTGTATTTTTTTTGCGGTACTAAAATTTAGATGGATAAAGATGGGACAGTTTTCAGATTTTTATGGGTCGGTAAAATTGCCACTTAGTTGGAATCCTTCGTTTGTTGCATTTGCTTATGTACCGATAATTTTTATGCATATCATTAGATGATTCCGTATTATTTCTACATTTGTATGGTCGATATGGCATTTCCGGTAAGGAACTACTAATGTCATTCATCTTTTTCAATCATTTAGTAAGGAATAATGGTAAATTTTAAATTCAATTTAGAAATTAAAATTAAAATCATTCTATTAGTAAATTTAAAAAAGTTGCTTAATCATATATAATCTAATGTCAATCTTGTTAAATGATAATTTACAACTATGATGAACTTTCCTATCTATTGTACATTTAAAATTCATCATTTAATCTAAATTTCATATATAATTTAATCCTTTCTTCATCATTATTACAATTAAGATGTATATTCATTCCTATGCATTTGATGATATTATTTGATATCACTGTTTACTCTCTAATCATAAAACAATTCCTATAAGTTAAAAAATGAAAAGAAAAAAAAAAAATACTCTTCATCACTGCTAAAATAAAAATAGAAAACAAAAAAAAAAAATCTTAAGATGACCTCGGTTGAAGGAAAAGGTGTTTCTACAGCATTTTTGTCATACATCTATCCTCAAATAGATAACGATCAGAGTGAGAAGGAATGAATTTATTCCTCTTTTTTCCATTTTCTATTTCACTTTCTCTTTCCCAATCCTAAAATGTCTCTTCCACCTTCTTTTCAACCCTCAAAACAAAAACAGCAAAAAAAAAAAAAAGAAAAAAAGTAGTTTCCTCTTTGAATTTGAAAATATAAATGAAGTATCGACATTTTGTGAGGGGAAATAATTTTTTAGTTCCAACATTATTCATTTAAATTTGAAACAGTTATCAATGATAGGTAAAAGGTAAATTAAACTAATCAGTATAACTCGAGTCCTTCACTTTTTTTTTTTTTGCCTTACAGAAGAATATTTTACTCGTTTTGTCTTAATTATATGATCTCCTTTACCTTTTTTTTTTATTCTTTAATTCTTCGTGAATTTTTTTTCCCCCATCGATCTGCCTTTTTTTTCTTTTTTTTTTTACTTGTAAGGTATAATTTGGAAGTGTAAGATTATTAGGATTTTACCTTAGTTAATTTCTTGATTTACCATCATTCATTCATTCAACCAAATCATTCGTGTTTTCCTTTTCATTTCCCAAGATTATACTTGTAGTTCATTTGATACAAGATCAATCGTTGTTCGAGCAGGAAAAAAGTTGCAATACCTTTTTATGACAGAAATGATCACGATATTTTATTACGATTTCTTTTCTTTTTGTTTACTTGAAAATTCGCGTTTATGTTTAAGTTTTGGTTGACCCGGATCCAATCCGGATTCATACTCGCAATTAACTTCAGCAAAGATAACATATGATAATTTAACCGATACTGTTTGTTATGGAAAATGCAAATTGTGGAAGTCTAATATGATTTCCAAAAATTTGCTTCTTTTTTGTTTTGAATGAAAAGAGGAGGAAAAACTGATCAGTATCCCCCATATAAAGAGAGAACCGTATGCATATTCTCTCTTTTCTCCAATTTTTCTTTCCTTCTTTTTTCAAACTATTTTATGCAAATTGTTGGCTCACCACCGGCTGGATCGTTAAATGACACAAAGGATTACGAAGTGCTATCCTGTTCTTTCTATCATTTAAAATTTCAACATCTTGAGGCTACCAAATGAGAGTGTGTCGGTCTGTGCGTGTAACAGATGATCAAATCATGTCACATCGTCCTTCTCCTCTTTTTTTTTTTTTTTTTTGAAGAAGGAAATACTGGCATTAGAGGAAATGGTCTCCGACCTTCAGATTTTTTAAAATCCAACAAATTTATATACCCACTAGCTATCTTCGTAAATGTTGCTTCCATTTATATGCTTGGAAACTGTATGCTTACTGAAAGTTTACAGATAAATTTGTAATTGATTAAATGTTTTAATTTTTGTATAATCGGTTTAATCTATCCGGTAACATTTTAGTGTATCCTTTTCCTTCATCCCATTCATTTGTTATCATTTCCAATTATTTCACCAATAACAATCACATTGTTCTTTTCTATATATCTCATATTGATTCCGTTAGCAATTATTGACTGTTCCGTAACGGATAGCAACGGAATCCAACATATAATGATAAGTTTTGCAAATTTTAGCTATTTCTTACTTGGCATAAGAATTACCATTATGTGGAAGCAATAAGAGAGGATGAAAGAGGGAGGAAAAAAAAAAAAAGTGGGAAAGAGACCGCGGGAGGGAGTATGATTCTGATGGTGATGGTGAAGGTCGCTAATGTAAATCCGGTTGAGGAGAAGGAAAAAAGAAAAAGGGGAGGGGGTGAAAGCGACCTTTCTCCGCTTCCCCTTGTCCCTTACCATTCGTCCTGATCACCT